TATACATCAACTAATTTAATAATGTGGCATTAGTCCTAATATCTTTGTCTTCCCTATCATTACTTAGTTTAATATGGTCATGCTTTTCTTTTTTTATTTTAATATTTTTAGATTTTGCAACTTTGAACAAAAAATTATGAGTAAGATTATAGAAAAAAAGAATTAAAATAATTTTAATACTACTAAACAAGTTTATACTTTTTGTTATCAATGTTAAAACTTGTTTTAGACAAATTTTTAATTTTTAATTTTAATTTTCAATAATTACTAAATTTATAAAAACCATATACTTAAATTAGTCATTCATGATACTTCCACTATTAATTTCTCCTAAATACTTTTATTCTTATCGTTGTTTCATTTAAGTTTTAAGGCACAATTATTAGCTTATATCCAACAATTTCATATATGCAGGAACTCTTTAATGGATGTCATAGAACCAGTCGTGGATATTGTGAAGGATGTTGTACCTACAGTTAAGAAATATTTCAAGTATCAGATATGCCACAATGATTATGTCAATAAATTCAAAGAAATGCAAACACGTCTGAAGCACCGACGGCAAGACGTTGAAGAAAAATTGCGTGCTCAACTTAGGCAGCCTGGGAAGATTGCAAAAAAGGAAGTTGAAGCTTGGCTAGAGAAAGCAGACCATGAAACTGCAGAAAAAGTGGTTGAAGATCTAATCTGCAAAGGGGGTTGTTTCACATATATTTGCTCCTCAAGAAAGCTCGATAAAAGGACTCAATCTACTGAAGGAACATTTAAGCAAGGAGAAAAGTACACTAGTGCTGGTGAGAGTTTGGTCGAAGATACTTCCTCAATTGAGTATTGGGCAACTGTATTTGAAGAAAGGCAAAAGCGGCTGAAGCTTCGACAAAAGGACATTGAAGCAAAATTGGAGACTCAACTTATGCAGCCTGGAAAGATTGCAAGCATGGAAGTTAAAGACTGGTTGAAGAAAGTAGGCCAACAAATTCCCATAAAGGTTGAAGATCTAATCAACCAAGGGGGATGCTCCTCTCTATCCAACCTCAGGAGAAAAATTGAAGAATTGAAGCAAATATTTGAGCAAGGAGAAAAGTACACTAGTGCTGATGAGAGTTTGGTCGTAGATACTCCGGCAATTGAGTATTGGGCAACTGTATTTGAAGAAAAGCAGGAGAGGCTAAAGCACCAAAAGGAAGACATTGAAGCAAATTTGAAGACTCAGCGTATGCAACCTGGAAAGATTGCAAGGAAGGAAGTTGAAGAGTGGCTAGAGAAAGCAGGCCAACAGATTGGCATAAAGGTTGAAGATCTGATCAGCCAAGGGGAGATCAGCCAAGGGGGATGCTCCTCTCTATCCAACCTCAGGAGAAAAATTGAAGAATCGAGGCAAATACTTGAGCAAGGAAAAGAATTCACTAATGCTGGTGTGATTTTGGTCAGAGATGATCACTCAATTAAAGGATTTCCACTTCTTGTTGAAAAATGTAGTGGCAGGGATGATATACAAGAAAAAATTCTGGAATGGTTGAAGGGAGACCATGTTACAAGAATTGCAGTTTCGGGAATGGGTGGTGTGGGCAAGACAACAATTATGAAGAATGTCCATAACCAACTGTTGATTGAATCCAAATTTAAGAATGTTATTTGGGTAACAGTGTCAAAAGACTTTAACATTACTGTCCAGCAAAAAATGAAGTTTGATATTCTCCAGTTTCAGAAAAAGATTGCAAGTAGCTTGAAACTAGAACGAGAGCCAGATCATGAGAATGAAACCAAGCTTGCTGCATTGATTTCACAAAGATTGGGACAGGGCAGCTTCCTGCTAATTCTGGATGATGTGTGGGAGCCTTTTTCTCTAGAAGATGTTGGAATTTCTAATCGAGTTGGAAATAATGGTTGCAAGTTAGTGCTCACGACACGGTCAAAAGATGTTGCTCGTGCAATGGATTGTAATGTGATCCATGTGAACCCTCTTCGACCTAAAGAAGCATTAGAATTATTCTCGGAGAAAATTGGAAGTGATGTGTTTTCAGATGGCAAAATTAAAAGAGATATAGAGCCATTTTTGAAGCAAATTTTGCAGAAATGTGATGGAGTACCCCTTGCTATTGTGACAGTGGCAAAATCAATGCAAGGGAAATTACTTCCTCGTCATTGGAAGTTGGCACTTTCTGAATTCAGTAAATTTGAAAGTATTATTGATTGTTTGAAATTCAGTTATGAATGCCTAGAACAACAATGCCAGCAGTGTTTTTTATGTTGTGCATTGTATCCTGAAGATTATGAAATCAGAAAGGAGAAGTTAATTGAGTATTGGATTGAGGAGGGGCTTATATATAAAGAAGGGAAAACTAGGGAGGCAATGAATTGGAAGGGTCATGATATACTTGATAAGCTAGTTGACAACTGCTTGTTGCAATCGGTTGAAAATGAAGACGAAGAAGAATGTGTGAGTATGCATGATCTTCTCCGAGAAATGGCACTGGAAATCAGTCCTCAATTCTTGGTGAAAGCCGGCATAGCCTTGGAGAAGTTACCAGAGGAGCATGAATGGAGAGAAAATCTTTTGAAGGTTTCTTTAATGAGGAATCACATAACAGAAATTCCTTCAAGCATGCCGTCTCCAAGGTGTCCTATGCTCACAACCTTGTTGTTGTCCAATAATAAGATTTCAACAATTCCAGAAGCTTTTTTTGAGCATATTCTTGGGCTCAAGATTGTTGATCTTTCCAAGAATCGTCAGCTAAGTAGGCTGCCGAGTTCTATCTCCAAATTGGAGAAGCTTACTGCATTATTGCTACGTGGATGTGAGTCCTTAAGAGAGGTACCAGCATTATCCAACCTTGTAGGGTTAAAAAAGTTAGACCTTTTAAGGACATCAATTGAAGAACTACCGCAAGGCCTCAACATGTTAACAAATCTAAAATATCTTGGTCTTGGTGGAAGATTATCTGAAACACTTGTTGAACCGCTACAAAATCTCTCCAAACTTCAGCATTTACTAGTAATTGCCAATCCCAATGCCGAAACAGAATTTAAATGGGAGACGATTGGAATTTGGGGGAAGCTTCAAAACCTTGAGAAGCTGGTTCTTGGTTGTTTGGATAACTTGAATATGGTGTTTGGGGAAGTAGGAGCAATTGCTGAGTCAACATCGCTACCAGCTGGCACATTTTCCTCTCTTAAATATATTGGTGTTGGCGAATGTAATAAAATAAAGAAGTTATGCTCGGTAAGGTGGTTGGAATATCTTCAGAAACTACAGACTGTTGAGGTTGATGATTGTCAGCAACTGGAGGAGATAATAGGGTCTAAATCTAAAGGAGGAGAAAAAGTCACTCTACCCAACTTAGAAAGGTTAAAATTGAAAGAATTGCCCCAATTGAAGACCATCTATAACGGTTCTTTGATTTGTGATTCCATCAAGAGGATTGAAATTTATGATTGTGAAAATATAGAGAGTGTTTTTTCGTCCGGGTTCAACCCACTTCCAAATCTTGAATATCTGGCACTTATCAATTTAAAGCATCTGAAATTTGTGTTTGATGAAGAAGGTCTTGGTTTATTGCCACGTGTACCTCCCACAAGATTTTTCTCTCTTAAAGAAATTAGGGTTTTTAGGTGTAATCAATTAAAGAAGGTATTCTCATATGGATGGCTGCTCCACTACTTCCAATCTCTAGAGACTATTGAGGTTTCATGGTGTTCGCAAATGGAGGAGCTGATATCGTCATCGGCACATGAAGAAGAAAAAGTCACTCTACCCAAGTTAGAAAGGTTGGAATTAACAAGTTTGCCCTTATTGAAGAGCATCTGCAGCCACTCCAGTGTGTTGATTTGTGATTCCATCCAGAGTCTGACGATTACCAACTGCGAGAAGCTAAAGAGGATTCCTCTGAATTTTCCCTTGATTGATAATGCCCAATCATCTCATCCTCCTTCCCTCAAAGAAATTGTGGTATTCCCAAAAGAATGGTGGGAATCATTGGAATGGGACCATCCCAATGCAAAAGACATCCTTTTCCCCTTCTGTAAATTTCCGCCGATATGGGGTCCACTGACATGGGCGTAGGGCGCACTGCAAATGTAAGCCTTTTAATCTTCAATTCTCCATTTCTGATTCAATTCAGTATGAGTTTTCCATTCTTAATAAATCTCTCTCTCTCATCTATTATTTTCTCCCCCATTGGCAGCAATTGGGATTCGGCTCGGTAACCACAAGAAAGTTGGAGGAAATCACATATGCACTAGTTGCTCTTGCTTTTGGGTTTTCTATGTAATAAAATCTTTGTTTTTCTTTTGCTGTGTGTGTTGTGTGTTTAAATATGTCCAATTTTAAGTGGAAAACTGTAAAGGTTTGTTTCTTTATTATCTGTGTAATGTTGTCTTTGAAACTATGTGGGAAAGAGACTTGAAACTGTATTTGCTTTTCTTGTAATATGTATTTCAATTTATTGCATTTGCATATCTCCTCAAATTTCATTCAGCAACATTATCATCATCAACAAAAACCAAGACTTACTTTCATCAACAATAGCGGCACGCTCTGTTACTTTATATTCTCAGAATTGCCCAAGAAGGACTAGCATTGAGGTCAGAGGACACTCCTCTTCTTTTTTTTGCCTTTTCTTTTTATCTTTTTTTTTTTTTTGTGCATCATCAACGTTAAACTGTATTTGCCTTTTTTTTTCATCAACATTAGGTTCACTTATTTAAACAATCTAGTAGTGTAACTATGAATCATGCATTATTTGTTGTGTGCTACCTTCTGTTTACTTAGGGGATTTAGCAAAAATCATGTTGTCACAGTTGCATGTGTATGAGACAACTATAGAGGGGAGTTTTAGAGCTTTCTTTGTCCTTTTTAAGTTTTCCTTAATTGTTACAGTTTTGCCATTCATTTCTAGCCCTTGCTGCCCTACCTCAAATTTGATTCCTTTTTTCAGTAGTCTCTATATTTGCTCTCAAAGATGTCTGCTTTGGCGATGAAAAGATTGACCAAATTTTAGTAGTTTCAGTACCCTTGCTAGGTATTTACTAACTGTGCTTAAAGACAGTTATGGTGATGTAGTACTTTATTTGTGGTATTGATGCAGTATAAGATGTAAGAGCTTGAGAACTTTCTTTGTCCTTTTTCTGAATTGTTTTGGTTTTGCCATTCATTTTCAGTCCTTGCTTCCCTGCCTCTTATTTGACACCTAGTTTCAAATTCGATGGTCTCCATGTGTGCCCTTAAAGATGTCTGCTCTGGCCATGGACAGATTGACTCAATTTTTGAAAGGTGACTTCTTAGTTGGTTACAGTTGAGCACTCTCTTGCTGTTTTTATTATATCAATGCTTTTCTTTTCTTTTCTTTTTTTTCTGGGGAGGGGTGAAATATAAGGACTTGCTAATCATACTTAAAGGCTGTTAATTTATTTTTATGCAGTATTTTTAACTTGGGGTATTGAGATAATATATGATGTTACACAGTGGGAAACATTTGCAAATCTATTAAGATGCTTGTTAGAAACAAAGTTGATAATGTGTATGATTCAAGAAGTAGTGAATTTTTTGTTTGATTGACCAATATTTGTATCTGAGTTTCATTTTGCTCTAGTTAGCAATTTAATTTCAAGTTCATCTGAAACTTTTTCATAGACCTATTTGATGTTATGGATAATAATTCTTGAGTGTTATTTTATGCATGGGATTTAATCATTAGTGATCTTTCACAGGAAAGTGAAACGGATTTCCAAAAGGAAGGGTTGGGTGTCAAGAATATGGATGCCTCTTTATAGAGTGCAGTGCAAAGACTTGAGTGAATGTAGAACACTGCTATGACGAGCTTGTCTTAAAGGTAACTAAAATCCAATGTACTTTATTTTGTAATTGATATAGCCTGATATTTTCATTAGATAGCCCTGCCTTGAGACAAGTGTACATGTTTGTTTGGATACAAGAGAAACATGGAAGCTAATTAAAGCTTTTGAATTTGGATAATTTAGCTGTTGATGTACTAATATATTCCTGTTCCTGTTTTACTTCTGAGACTTCAAGTAATACCGTATAATGTGTTTGCATAATCCTAGATAATGTACTAACTTTCTCTGTCACAAACTTACTTCAGATAAATGGCACAAAGTGCATTTTGGTTAGCGTGTATAATTGAAGGGAAATATGCAATATTCTAACATGATTAAAAATCAGCATACAAATTTGTTTTTGCCAATGTAATTATTTTGATCATACAAATAATTATTTTTGACATTCAAGTGTTGGGACATGTATAACTGCTAATATCACTGAATCATTTGATTCATAGTAAAATTGCTAGAATCTTTCTGCATTTTTTTGGGCATGGATAGGGTATCAGTTTTCTCTGGCATTTGGGCTACCTTTTAGTGGTTGTGGGTGAGACTTTATGTTGTTTAAACTCATCAAAATGGGTTTTGAATTTATCTTTTAATTTGTAGGGATAGTGTAGGGTTGAGATGGAAAGAATATTTCCTTCCTGGCTAAAATTTGATGCTCTGAGGACTCTGGTTGTCTATCTGAATTACCGCACTTCTATTTGCGATAGGCTGAGGCAAGGCACAATGCGGCCTAAGGTTGGATTGTTTTCATCATCACCGTGTCCTCCCATTTTCAAATATGTGAAAGGAAATTAATTACAAATTCCCTGCCACAATTCTTCAATGTTCTTTCTATGTTAAAAGCTTGTAATTTGCATAATATAAAATAGTAGATTATTTTAAGGAATCAACATATTGACCTAAGTTATTAAATCTTAGGCTTAGATTATTAAATCCTAGGACCATGTACTGACAGGAAGGATCAAGCATATCATGCCCAATTCATTTTGCATGAACAAATTAAATTTAACATTTGAATTCTATTGTCTCATAAAAGCCATCTACAAAATTTTGAGGGATGCATGAAAGTACTTCATGCTATAGAAGGTGTTATAAGGTGTGATAAAGTACTTAGTTGGAATTGACCAAATCCCAAGTCCTTAAACTGGATTAGGGGGGGTTAAAACTCAGATGCCTCCTAAAAAAGAAGGAAAAACCAGAACTTGATTACAGAGGAGGTAGGTTCTCCAGGTAAATTGGAAATAAAAGGATCTCCAAACCCAAGGCCTGGAGGTTAAATGCACTACCTTTGAATTCTATTACCTTGTAAATAAAAGACTCCTACAAAATTTTGCAGGATAGAAGTACTTCCTGTTGCAAAATTTGTTTTAAGGTGTGATAAAGTGCTTGAAAATGTATGAAAGTTACATCAAATAATAGCACTTCTTATATTTTATTTCCTTATATCCTTAAAACACCTGACAAATTTTAATATATATCACCTATCTAGTTTGCCATGCTATCCGCAAAAGAGAAATTTTGACACAATATTAATTTCATATCAATATAAATTGTGATTCTATAGCACCAAAAGCACGTATTAAATGGAATATAAGTAGTGGGCTCCAAAAGTCTTAATCAAAAAATTTGAATATTTATGTTATGAAAAATCACTTAATTAAATTTTCTTCAAACATTTCTATATCTATTTATGATATTATTGTGAAGAATTTGGTGTTAACGGACTACAAAACACCAATCATCGAATAAAAAGCCTCTCTTAATATAATGGTTTATATTTTATAGTCCAATATAATATCAAGTCTATAAAATAATGTTTTATACTACTAATTACAATTTCATTTTCAACATCTGAGTTCAGTTATTATATATTATGTTTTTATATCCAGTTGAACAAGAAGAATGGCATTGGAAAACAAGAAAAAAATGAAAGAGCAATGAACAAAATTATTTCCATAAATACCGTGTAAATATAAGGGCATGACGTCCTCACGTGCCTGTTTTCTTGACTTCTTCCAACTTCACTAACTTGCACACACCATTTTTTCTTGCTTTTATTTTTTTAGTACATTCATGGTTAACTCCTTAATATTACAAAAGTTTAAATTTTTAATTTTAATTTAAAATTAAAATTTTTATATTAATAAGTACCAACTTAATCAAATTCTTGTTAAACTTGCTTTTATTAGCATCATCAGCAACATTGACCTCGTATTAGACTAATTTGGTAAGTATTTCTGATCAACGGCAATGGATTTTCCCAGTTGTTT